TGCTGCTGCTGCTGCTGAGGATCTTTGTTTTGATTGTTTTGGAGTGGGGATTTGCGTAGGATGAAATGTGCGAAAATAAATCCCAAAGTGCTGCTGGCACTAAACCAGGGGCCTCCAAAGAGCCGTAGAGGCTGTGGCTTTTCCCGCTGCCGCGGCCCCCCGCAGCAAGCACCAGGCTGCTGACGCCCTGAGCAGCAGCAGCAGCAGCAGCAGCAGCAGCAGCCGCAGCACCAGCGGCGGCGGGGGTAATGGCCGCAGCAGAAGGTGCAGGGGCAGCGGACAAAGAGGCCCGCGGGAAACGCTGAAACAGCAGCAGCGCCAGCTAATGAAGCACGAGCAGCAGCAGCAGCAGCAGCAGCAGAGGTAGTACGGCTGTAGCAGCAAAAGCAGCAGCAGCAGCAGTAGCAAAAAGGTTACCTTACCTCAGTCGCCTGCAGCACAAGCGGCTGAACTGTCTCCACATATATTTCCGTGTTGCACACGTCCTCAGAGAAGACCCTGCAGCTGCAGCAGCAGCAGCAGCAGCAGCAGAAGAAGCAGCAGCAGAAGCAGCAGGGAGAGAAATATATCAAAAGCAAATTTAAGTAAAACGAAAGCGGGTACTCCAGCAACAGATGCAGCGACAACGGGCGCAGCAGCAGGTGTAGCAGCAGCAGCAGCATCAGCAGCAGGTGCAGCGGAAGCAGCAGCAAGTGCAGCAGCAAGCGCGCCGCAGCAGCAGCTTAATAGCTACTTGGTTATGCATTTACAGCAGTGCAGCAAAAACAAAAAGGAGGCGCAAACAGTGGCAAACGGTGAAGGGCTGCTGCTGATGCTGATGCTGCTGCTGCTGCTGCTTACTTCTTGTTGAGGGCAGCAGCAACTGCTGCTGCTGCTTCCGAAGGGACGGAGACGCCAAGAGGCCCAGCAGCAGCAGCAGCAGCAGCAGGGGATGCAGGAAGGGCCAGTTTGTTTATCTGCTGCCAGTTAAGAGGCCTGAGTCTGACGTAAACAGTTGCTGCTGCTTCCTCGGGGAAAAGGCCCGTTGAAGGGGACATCCTGGCTGCCGCTGCTGCTGCAGCTGCTGCTGTTGCTGCTGCTGCTGTGCATGCATCTGTCTGTGCAGCAAAGGCGGGGGGGCCCCTCCTGCGCAGCAGCTGGTGAGCAGCGGGAAGGCAAGCGGCGCTGGCTGCTGTTTGCCGCAGCCGCTGCCTTTCTAGTGTTAAATTGTGGCTTAATTAATTAAATAAAATAAAAATAATAAATAAATTAAATGAATTTTTGCCGATTTCAACGCGGGGAGGGGCTGGACCCCCGGCGGCGGCAGCAGCCGGGCAGCGGCGGTGTCCACTGGAAAGCGGCAGCCCGGGGAGCAGCTCCAGCTGCCCTTTTTAAGCAATTAATGCTCTAATTGAATTAAAACAAATAATTTAATTTATTAATTTTGTTTTATTTAAAATGAATGGCCCCAGCATTCGAACGAACCCCCCGAAGCCGCGCAGACGCGCAGCCGACCGCCTGGGGCCTTGAGTGTACAGACACCCGAGCGCAGCGGCGAGCCGCCGATTCAAAACAACAAAAATAAATATTTAATTTAATTTAATTTAATTTCATTTCATTTCATTTAATCTTTTAATTTTGTTTTCATTCGTTTAATGCTGCCATGAGCCGCGCTGCAGGGTTGGGAGCTGCAGCAGAGCCCGCGCTAAGGCCTCTGGTCAAGGGTTCAGGGTTTAGGGTTTAGGGTTTAAGGGTTCGGGTGTGCGCTGCGCTGTTTGTACACCACAACATTGAATTCAACTTTGGCATGTAAAATAGTTTCGAGATTACACACTTCAGTTTGAATGCCTGAGGGTTTAGGGTTTAGGATTTGCAGCCTAGGGTTTAGGATTTAGGGTTTAGGGTTTAGGGTTTGGGGTTTAGGGTTTCATCGCAGCCAGAAAGCCTCGCCCGGAGCACCCGCTCATACCCAAGTTGAGTAAATAGTTTAAATGAAACATTTTAATTTATTCTTTTTGGAAAATAAATTATTAAAAGTATTTATTTAATTTTGTTTAATTAATTTTATCTCAAAAAAACTTTTTGGCATTTGGTTCCTTTTAAGGAAGATCTCCCGCATTCATATGCACAAGTGCATGAAAGCGCTTCCATTATTTATTTATTCATTTATTTATTTATTTTCCTTTTTATTTATTTATAATTATTTTAATATTTATTCATTTATTTCTTTACAATTATTTTGCTATTTATTTATTATAATTATTTTTCTATTTATTCATAATTATAATTATTAAATTAATTATTTATTCATTTATAATTAATTTATCATTTATTTATTTATTTATGTTTTCATCTTTTTTCCCTATGCAGTGTACAGACACAGCACTTCTAAGCCACCGTGCCAGTGTGGCTTCTGGAAGTAAATAAATAATAAATAAATAATAAATAAATAAATAATGAATAATAATAAAAAATAATAATAAATAAATAATAATAAATGAATAATGAATAGCAAATAAAATAGTAATTGGTAATGCATGCACTTGACCATAGACACCTGAATGAGGTGTACGTACACCCGGTTCCAAAAGGGGCAGCAGAAGCGAAATTGCAGATTCGACAAAAAAGAAAATTCTGAAAATTAAAAAACAAAAAGGAGTTTTTAAAATGCATTTCTGCAGCATTTGTTTCCTGCTGCAGCTGCTTTTGCTGCACTCGTTTTGCTGCTGCCATTTTGTTGCTGCTGCTTCTGCTGCTGTCACTTTTGCTGCTGCCACTTTTGCTGCTGCCACTTTTGCTGCTTCAGCTTTTGCTGCTGCTACTTTTGCTGCTGCTGATCTTGCTGCTGCTGCTTTTGCTGCTGCCCCGGCGCTGCTCAGGAGCAGCAACAAGTTCCAGCAGCAAGTTAACGTGAGTCCTTTTGAATAAAAAGGCGGAAATATGGAATTTAAGTTAGATTTTAGGGTTAAGGGTTTAGGGTTTTGGGTCAGGCGTTCGGCGCTAGGGTTTAGGCTTTTGCTGCTAGGGTTTAGGGTTTCGGCGCTAGGGTTTAGGGTTTCGGCGCTAGGGTTTAGGGTTTCGGCGCTAGGGTTTAGGGTTTCGCGGCTAGGGTTTAGGGTTTCGGCCCTAGGGCTTAAGGTTTCGGCGCTAGGTTCAGAGTTTCGGCGACAGGGTTTAGGATTTAGGGTTTGGGGTTTAGGGTTCAGGGTTTAGAGCTTAGGGTTTATGGGCTAGGGTTTAGGATTCAGCAGGTAGGGTTTGGGGTTTCTCACGCAAATTGTAGTGGTTGTCACTTAGAATTAAACTTTAGAGCTTAGGGTTTAGGGTGTAGGATTTAGGGTTTAGGGTTTAGGGTTTACGGTTGAACAAGTATCTACAAAACATTCTTCGCTGATGACAGGTAACGTGACACGTGCTGCTGCTGCTCACTTGCTGCTGCTGCTGCTGCTGCTGCTGCTGAGCATGCAGTATAATGTATATGGCTACAGTGCTGCTGCTACAAGCAGCACAAAACATTAACTTGGCGTTTTAGGATTTTTATTGGACTATATAATCCGCATTTGTTTGTCGTTTGCTAGCTGCCCACAGCAGGACAATTTGCTGCTGCTGCTGCAGCAACAGCAGCAGGTGCTTATCCGGTGCTGCTGCTGCTGCTGCTGCTGCTGCTGCTGCTGCTTGTGCTGCGCCTCAATGTGCAAGGCAGCGGGCGCTGGGCAGCGCCCGCTGCAGCTGCTGCTGCGGGGGCTGTGGCTGCTGCCCCATTTACTGCAGCTGCAGCTATTTTGGCACGAGCCATAACTGCTGCTGTGGCAGCGGTATCTGCGGCTGCTGCCGCTGCTGCGAGGCAGCGTGGCTGTCCACTGGTCTGCAGCGGTCACCGCCCGGTTGCTGTTGCTGCTGCGGCGTTTCTTTCTTTTGCTGCTGCTGCTCGGGCAGAAAATCATGAGCACTTGGAATAAATTTAAACCAAAATGAAAATAAAATTAATTTAATTAAATAAAGCGCAAAATTAAGAGCTGCTGCGGCACGGAACACGGGCAGGGTCACCTGTGCTGCTGCAGCAGGTGTTGGGGCCCCACGCGTGGGTGGTGATGCAGCGGCAGGCGAGCAGCAAAAAGAGCCAGCCCCAGGTCTTTTTGAGTGTTTAAAAAATAAATTTAATTTAAATTTAATAATTTTAACTTATTTTTATCCTTTATTTGTTCAAATTAGCCCGCGGAAAGCCCCCAGGGTCACCTCCGCACTGCTGAGCAGGACTGGCGGCAGCGCCGCGTCGCCTGCACACTTGCTGCAGCAAACTCCACCGATTTCTCCTTGTTTTTGGCATTTTGCAAAACTAAACAACAAATTTAATCCAGTTAATCCATTTAATTTTTTAATTTGAGAAATTAAACCCAGGTGAGCTCCCGGGCGCGCCCTGCTAGCGGCTGGCGCCTCTTTGCTGCACAGGGGGGAGTGAACGCAACAAGTCCAAACACATGAAATAAGTGAAATTAAATGAAATTAAATTAAATTAACTAAATTAAATTGAATTAAATTAAATTAAATTGATTTAATTCCAAAGATTTGCATGCTCGCGGGGTCCCGAGGAAGCAAAACAGAAAAGAAATTTTCTTGAATTCCATTTCTTTTCCTTTTTTGCTTTTGCTTCTTGCAGGTGCGCCTTTGCTGCTTGCCGCAGCAGCAGCTCTCGAGGAAAGCAATTTGCTGCTGCTAAGAAAATATATTTTTACTTAATTTCAAAAATATATTTTCTTTATTTAGTGCTGCTCTTTTTGCTGCTGCCAGCTGGGTTTTCTTTTCTTATGTTGCAGCAAGCCAGCGTTGCTATTCCCTGGCAGCTCGTTGCCCCCAAACCCTAAACCCTAAACCCTAAACCCTAAACCCCAAACCCTAGGGCAGCGGTCTCTATGGACACCTCAGCGGCAATGAGGCCCTTCCTAGCGCTATTCATTTTCGCCCTCTCGGGCGCTGCTGCTGCAGCAGCAGCAGCAGCAGCAGCAGCAGCAAGCCAGCCAAGCACTGCGACGTTCTGGGAGATGCAGGAGGGTACCGGAATGATCCCCAGCAGCAGCAGCAGCAACAGCAACAGCAGCAGCAGCAGCAGAGGGCGCCTGCGGCCGGGTCATGTGGCTGAGGGGAGCGACACCAGTGGTCAGCAGCAAATGGAGCAGATGGGGCAG